CACCCCTCGGAGAGCATTGAAATGCCCCGAAAACACCGGGTCAGACATCGGCACAAATGGTCCAGCTGTTATGGCTCTGGCCATCTTAGCTCAGCGGTAGAGCAAGGGGATCGTAGACTCCAAGGTCGCGAATTCAATTCTCGCAGGTGGCTGAACTTTTGGCCTTTTGGCTCAAGCCGAGTCAAGCAAGTCAAGCCATCCCCTCGGACCTCTCAAGCAAGTCAAGCCCACGGTTTTGAGGCCTCAAGTCAAGCCAAGTCCAGGCTCCAGACTTGCTTGACTTGCTTGTGGCCACCTCTGGCTTCCAAGGACCAACTCGAGCACTTCTGGATCGACACCTGTTGCATTAACAAGTCACTCCATGGCGAACATCAGGCAGCGATGAACTCCATGTTCCGGTGGTACCAGCGTGCGACGAAATGCTACGCGTATCTCGCGGACGTGTCGGTCGGGGAGCAGAGCACTGCAGGCCAAAGCGAACGTACCTGGCAATCTTCTTTCCAAGCGAGTCAATGGTTTCTCCGAGGATGGACGCTGCAAGAACTCTTAGCACCTCGGACCGTCGAGTTCTTCTCGCGGGATTGCGTGAAATTTGGCGACAAGACGACCCTCCAAGACGTTATCTACGCTGTTACAGGCATCTCCGTGGATGCGCTACAAGGAAGGCGATTAACTAGCTTCAGCAAGCAGGAGCGATTGGCCTGGATGGAACGACGTACGACTAAGTTCGACGAGGACAAAGTGTATGCGCTGCTAGGCATCTTTGAAGTCGAGCTCGTTATCCAGTACGGACAAGGATGGGCTAGCGCGATGGAAAAGCTGGAAGAGGCCATCAATGTCCAAACTAGTGTTTTGCGAGATCTGCGGATCACACATCCGAAGGACGATAAGATCCGCATCGAGCAAGACAAGGGTGGCTTGCTCGCCGGAGTGTGCGACTGGATCTTCGACTGTCCAGAGTTCCAGCGCTGGCGCGAGACGGCCGGCCGTCAGTCTTTGTGGATTAGAGGTGACCCGGGGAAAGGAAAGACGATGCTCATCTGTAGTATCGTCGATGAGCTCGAAAGGACCGAGCGACAGCAGTGTCAGTTATGCTACTTCTTCTGCCAAGCAACAGACACGCGGATCAACAACGCTGTTGCCGTCTTGCGCGGACTTCTTTACATGCTCGTCGACCAACAACCTTCACTTATACGACACATTGAGAAGCAGTACCACCATGCCGGCCGGACACTGTTCGAGGACGTGAACAGTTGGGTCGTTTTGACGAAGCTTTTCTCTGACATTCTCCAAGATCCACAGTTGAACAGTACGATCTTCATTATCGACGCGCTCGACGAGTGCACTTCGCAGCTGACAGACCTCATGCACTTTATTGCTTCGGTCTCAGCACAATCGCCTCGCGTGAAATGGTTATACTCTAGCCGTAATTGGCCGACAATCGAAGAGCCACTATCTAGAGCGCAGCAGATGCTGCATTTGCAGTTAGAACTGAATGCAGGAACGATAGCAAATGGCGTCCGTGTATTCAGTAAGCAAAAAGTGCATCAACTCGCTACAGAGAAAGGATACAGCGAATCTCTTCAGCAGGAGGTCCTTCAATATTTCCAAGCTAATGCAGGGGGTACATTTCTATGGGTGGCATTGGTTTGCAGGAGCCTATATGCTATTCCGCAGCGGCACGTCCGGCGGAGGTTGCGCGAATTTCCGCAGGGATTGGATGCGCTTTACGCGCGCATGATGGTTCAAATCGAGGAGTCAGATGACAGCGAGTACTGCAAGGCTGTGCTAGCCACTGTCGCACTCGCACTCCGACCACTTACGCTTTCCGAGCTCGGTTTCATAGCTGACCTGCCAGAAGAGATATCCTGCAGTGTAGGAGATATAGCCGACATCGCGCGTCGCTCTGGGTACTTCCTTACGATGCGAAGTGACATATGGGAAGACAAGGTGGTCTCCTTTGTACACCAATCAGCTAAAGACTATATCACTGAACAAGCCAGGAACGCTATCTTCCCAGCGGGGATGTCGAAAGGACACGCGCGGGTCGCCCAGAAGTGCATTCAGCGAATGTGTGAGCCTGGCGGTCTACAAAAAGACATTTGCAGAGTTCGGAAACCGGGCATACAACGCACCGACTTCGACTTAGCAGAGATTGCGAAAATGATGCCGGCCAGAGTGACTTATACTTCCAGCTTTTGGGCCGAACACTTCATCGCGAGTAGAGAAATCATGCGTGACGCTGATTACGTTCATCAATTTCTGCAGCAGTATTTCCTCTATTGGTTCGAGGCACTCAGCTGGATGGGACAAGCAGCTAGTATGGTCTTGCATACCGTGCGACTTCAGTCTCAGGTCGATAAGGTAAGCGCGTTAGCCTGGACAGGGCAGTACGCCTTGCTTACGAAATTATAGGGAGATCGCGGTCAGCAGGTGTCAACTTTTCTCAATGACGCTTACCGATTCGTTTTGATGAATAGCTATGTAGCCGATCTTGCACCTCTTCAGTTATACTTTTCCGCACTCATATTTACCCCATTAAACAGCATTATCCGGACGGCTTTCCTGCAGCAGCGTACGGATATGTTTTCTATGCTGCCTAACGTTATCCAGCATTGGAGCGCATCACTGCAGACGCTGACAGGGCACACGGATTCGGTCAGGTCGGTCGCGTTCTCGGCGGACGGCACGCGGCTGGCGTCGGCGTCGGACTACGGCACCGTCCGGCTCTGGGACGCGGCGACGGGCGCGCCGCTGCAGACGTTCGAGGGGCATACGGATGAGGTCAGGTCGGTCGCGTTCTCGGCGGACGGCACGCGGCTGGCGTCGGCGTCGTACGACCGCACCGTCCGGCTCTGGAACGCGGCGACGGGCGCGCCGCTGCAGACGCTCGAGGGGCATACGAGACATGTCAAGTTCTCCGTGGAAGGCACGCTCCTCACGCGGCTGGCGTCGGCGTCGTACGACCGCACCGTCCGGCTCTGGGACGCGGCGACGGGCGCGCCGCTGCAGACGCTCGAGGGGCACACGAGACATGTCAAGTTCTCCGCGGAAGGCACGCTCCTTTTGACCGATTTCGGGCAGTTTGCAGTGTCCGAAGACGAATTCTACTACGATCGGGAGCATGTACTGCTAAAGCCTGTTCTTCATACCTTGCAACTGCAGTATGAATGGATCCAGCATAACGGTAACGACATCCTCTGGTTGCCGCACGACTTTCGCGGAACATGCTCGGCAGTGTACGGAAAAACGCTTGTTATCGGGCAAAGCTCAGGAGCTGTGTCACTCTTTCAAGCACGAGACGAGTGCCACATAGTATCGTAAGTGGAAACCTACTCTATTTATTGCAACGTGTATGAATTATTGTATCTAGTTACTATCTATTCTCATGCCTACTTCTTTTCAAGCGATAAACTTATACTCTCTTCTTCTCTTCTGATTTCTCTCTAAAGAGGGTACAGGGTGATCACTCTTCTTACACCTGCTAGTTAGTTGAGATAGCTAAGAGAGCCTTCTAGAACGGAAAGTTAGCGCGATTTCGAACATAATGCGCAGCTAGTGTGTAAACCACAAGCCGTGGCCCTAGACGTAGAGAACCACATACGACGAGGCGCAAGATGTGGCGCGCTCGTTAGCTCAAAAGCACTGCATGACTCAGCAATGGCGTCGTTGCATCGACTTCGCCATAGACACGAACGGGAGTGCTCGGGATCGAACAGCACCAATCGGCCAGTAAAGAGACAAATACAAGATGCACTTAAAGCATAGAGTAATGCAACGAGCAGGATATTTGAAAATTGGAGTGGATGTAGGAAATGCAATCTGCGATCGACGACGGAGGTCGGATTTTTGAAGGAGACTAAATTCAACACGACAACATTACAGCAGACGATATTGCATCGTGAGTCACACGTAAAGATGAAGGAAAATCTGCTGCTGAACATAACACCAGTCCTATGTCAATGCGATTGGGTTGTAAAATGTTGAAGACCAAAATGTCTGATGCTGGCTCGTTACATAGGGTGGCTCGCAACGCCGGGAGGGACGTTA